CCACAACAATCATCACTGAACATTGGATGCTGACCCTTAGTGTTTAAGTCGACTTGTTTAGCTGAAGGCTTCTGGTCAAGCATCCAGGCCATTTTGTACCCCGTCGTGTCACGTTCGTGCACGATCACTAGCCAGCTAAGCGTTCGCCTAACAACCCGTTTTAGTCCCGAAATACACCTCGTTATTTGGACAACCAATCCCGTTGTTTTGCTTTGCCTTTGGTCCACGAGAAATGAATACTAGAGAAGTTGTTGGTATAAGATCTTTCGTAAGTATATTCCGTACAAATCGCTAACGTCAATACCGTCAGCCTCTAAATACCTTTCGACTAGTGAGTTAGACTAATTGAAATATAATATAAGAACGCCTTAGTACATAGTTGGGCAACTGAATAAATTCATGTTTTCACTTCCCAGAAAAACGACCATCATAATATCATTCATTACTAATATAATCCAATTATTGATAATCTATTTAATTTAAATTAACTATTTAAGAGGTTCGCTAACCACAGTAAAATCCCAAAATGTTCTTGTAAACAGAAACTGTTTATCCCCCTTGATCTCCAGACAGAATATCCTAGATATTTGCAGTGTGTGTGTTGAATCCTTTCACTGACACATTTTTGGTGTTCACCTGATAAATCAAAGACTCAGTAATCAGTATGTCTCCCCAAGTAACTATTTTGGATTTTAAAACCTTTCGATTTATCTCACCCACTCTATGGTTAAGGCTCGTAGTGAAACAGCTGAGATCTCTTTTAGATTACTCATTTTACTTACTAGGATTTGTCAGTCTATAGTAAGCTAAATATCCTAACCGGTCCTAATCAACTGTCTTCACTTGAACTTACAATTAGCATCTGATATATGTTCAAGTGTTTGCCTGATTTTTACAATAATCTGTTTCAACCAACACAGCTTCTCTCCGGGGAAGTTTGTCGGCTTAAATTTCCCTCTAATCCCAGCTTTTTTTAAGAATCTCATGTAAACATGTTCTACTCGTCTACTAACTCTAACCAAACATTTCTATAACTAATTCATGTACCTGATTTTATGTATGCGTAGTGAATATTTACCCTTGTGTAATCGAATATTGATTGTTGATCGCATTGATAAACATTGATCGGTTAGGTACCGTTCGTTTTGTTGCTCGTGCTTTAAAATTCAACTTTGCTATTAATAAAATTTCCCTAGTCTTCACTTGTGCCTTTTTGATATAACGTCGTCGGTATTTAGCTAAACAGAGCGTTCGGTACATTAGAAGTCGTGAAGACACAGTTGGTTTCTGGTATACGGATTGAAGTTAGCTACTATTTCGCAAGAAACTTCCTAGTAAGCTTTCATACTGTTAGACTACTACAGAAGCTTGTGTTACACCTATCACCTACATTAGTTAATATTCGTTTTCAGTTTTATAAAAATTTTATAAATTTGAGTGGGGTATGTTAGGATCTTTTTTTAAGGCTTTTCGAATTCTTTATCAGATTCCTTAGACATTTCATGAAACCTACTTTAATAGATATACCTTGATGAAAGGCAGAATCAGAGTTGGGTGGTCTTTGATAAACGCTTGTATACAAAGTGCTCTCTTCTATTCGCTTTAATTTACAAGCCGACATTGGAAGTCCTCCATATCTATTTGTAAATTGAAATATGAGCTAATTTTTTTTATCACCGTGGTCCACAGTTTAAATTATCAAAAAGGTCAAAGTAATCCGGAAGAAAGCCCATGTTTCGCATCGTAGGCACTAAGCCATATTGTGAAGATTCTACAACCGAAAAAAGGTAAATGGAAAAGACAAACTGACTGCCGAAACTTTGTCAAATTAATGTCACATACTTGACGGCTGAAAAATTCAATACCTATTGCAGATATTTCAGAAATTCTTCAACCATTAGAAATGAAGGAAAGTAAACTTTATTTTGATATAATAACAGATATACTATTACCTTTGATATTTGGTTTGAGCGATCTTCATTGTTATTTTGACTTTCAATATGTCCTTTTAAGTTGAACTAAGTCTATATTTTTCTCACCCCCTAACTCTTTGTTATATATATGCTGAGATTTTGTAAATTCCGGTTTAATAATACATTGAGAAAGCTATTAGCATTAAATAGCGAAACGTCAGTAAAAACAATATCGTTTTGTTTTTCATTCATTGGGAAATACAAAAACCTCTATTATAGATGTGTTTATGTTTGACATAAAGATATCTGCTACCTCCTTGTTCACAATGATCCAAATCAATGAAACCATTGAGATCATTTGTCAACAGTCTGATCTTCTCCCACTCTCAGAGCCAGAATTCAAACGCCTACTGCTAATGTGTACCATGGGTGTACAATTCCAGTTTGACAACACTCTTTACCGACAAATAGATGGTGTAGCTATGGGCAGTCCAATTAGCCATGTTTTAGCAGATATCTTCATGTCAAACCTTGAGAAAACAAAGTTGAAGCATGCAAATGATCAAACAACTTCCTATTGTCGATATGTCGACAATTGTCGACATTTGTAGTATGCAACAACGAAAGTCATGCCTCCTATCTATCCAGATTATTCAACAACGCACATACAAATATTGTATTTACTATGGAACACGAAAATGATGGAAAGTTCCATTTCCTTGACGTTACTATGCAACGCCTAGAAGATGGTAGTCTCCAGAGGTCAATCTACCGAAAGCCCACATGGAATGGACAATACTCACATTTTAATAGTTTTTGTTCAAATAGCTACAAACGAGCACTAGTCAAGACTCTGTACTATAGAGCGAGGAGAATATGCTCTGCAGAGAAACTAGAGGAACAATTTACGAATCTCGAAAAGGTGTTGAAAAACAACGGTTATCCTCAAAGATTCATTAACAGATATGGAAGATGTGAAGGCTCAAATACCAAACGATTCACAATTGAAAAAAGCCTGTCTTCAGTCAACTAGATTTTAAAGGTGAAAACATTGCGGGAATGGTCAACAGAAGACTGAGAACGCCACTAGCCAGAGCCTATCCTGCAGCTAAGTTGGTTCCCGTCCATCGAACAGCATGCTCTTTGGTGCAGTCAAAAGTAGATAGATACCCTTCTCATGTTAACTCCAACTGTGTATACAAATTTACGTGTATCTGCGGGAGCAGTTACATTGGGAGAATAGAAAGAAGGGCACACCTCCGATTTTCTGAACATGTGCCGATAAGCCTACGTCTCAAGAGAACAAACTCCTATAGTAGCGCTATTACCAGACATCTCCTTGACACGGGTCATGAGGTGGAAATCGAGAAATCCTTCAAAATTATCAATAGACAATGGAGCTCCATTCTCCTCAAGTTTGCCGAAGCAATTTCTATCAAACGCCTGAAACCAGATTTATGTGTTCAGAAAGAAGCAGTTATTAGTCTTTCTTTGCCTTGGTAACTGGATGTCGTTTTTTCTCTCATCTGATTACGTAATCTTTGTCTTTAACTCCACGCTGCTTTTATGATCTGTAATTTTGCTTGTCTCTTGTTTCTATGATTTGAGTTCAACTCAGTACATTGTTACCTAACTTATTAGTCACTATGCATCTAACGCATATCTCCTCTTTATTGTGTAACTCCTTTACCATTATATGCATTCATTTATTTTGTTTTAACTTGAACTGCCTGTGTAAAAACTATATAAGCGCAATTTTCTGAGCACTGTTTTCTAATTGTGTAACTTTCTGTCAACTGACAACATGTAAAACTTGCAAGTATGTTAAAACGTTTCTGCACTTGAACCTCATAATTTATTTAGGCTGTAAGCAGCTGATGAGAAGCCACCGAAATAAGCAATGATGTTACCATATTATTCTGCACAAACCACTGTTGTTCTTGTTTTATTCAAATTCTGTTTCTCTGGAAATTTTATACACAAATTCTCCTTTGTTAATACGAAAATAGAAATGTTTCTTCTTTAATATTTTTGAGGTGGATTTTGTTATCCAACTTCTATGAATTCACGATATATGATAATTTTCTGTCTGAATACAAATAAGGTTAATATCAATCAGATTGGGATTACACAATGATATTTTACAGTAGACATTGATTGTGCAATAATCACCTGTTACACACTATATGGAGAAATAGAATGATTGAAACCTGGTCCAAGTCTATGCAACCACCTTTCATTCTTCATTTAGCTGATGCCTATCTATGATGATAATAGTAATAATATTATTATCATTATTACTTCATCATCCCCTTTTTCAGCTTTCAGAAATGACACATCAAGTAATAATTTTACACTCTTATCGATTTGAGAAACAAATGCTTGTAAAAGCCCTACACATACACATGCACACATCTATACAAAAAAAGGATAGCTGTGCATAACTTCCTCTTAGTGCTAAACATATTTTCCTACTATTATTTAGTTGTAAAAATACTCTGTTCGCTTCTCTACATCTCTATTTCACTATCTTGTATACGTATACACGCACAAACACACTTTTAGTCTCTCAGATTGTGTACACTCATTGATTTCATCCCATTTTAATTCACAACAAATAAATACAATAACCTCGAGTGTTAGTCAGCCTAGTTACACACTGATAAGTAGAAACACACACACACATGCACACATCTCTCTCTCTACATGCCTTTTTTAAGACAGAGATATACACTTCTACTGTGCCCTGTAGATATTAGTAACCTAACCGCTAAAATTATAAATCATCATCGCCATCATCATAATAAGAAGGAACAATACTAATGGGAGAAATTTTCCACTGTATGAATAAGGATTTTGGATTGGTTTAAACCAGGCACACACACACACTATTCGAGTAGACGTATATTAAAACAGTGAATCAGTCTCATTTAAACAAAACAAAGAAGAACAATTATGAACACCTATGAATTCAATTCTTCATTATACTAATGAATATTATCTATAACTTCAATTTTTAAATATAGCACAACTCATTTAAACAGAATATAAAATTCAAGCCGTCTTCACCCTTTTTTCCACAACAAAATGGCTACATACAGAAACTTGAAGCATTTAACACTACTTTCTATTTTAATACTATTATATAACTCAATCATTAAGAATAGTGTACTCGGTCAACAATCAGTGATCAATTATGGTTATTATTCAGATCAAATTATACCTGGAGCCGGTGAATATGGATTATTAACTCCGGGTTTAGTAAATTTACCAGATAAACAATTCAATTTTACTGCCTCAAATCTACAAGAACCATCACCGATATCTGCAATTTCTTTGGCTATTGTCTTTGATTCAACTGGTTCAATGGGAAATGATTTAAAACAAGTGAAAGTTGGATCTAGGCGTATTTTACAAAGACATTTACAACGTGGTGAAGCAAATTATATTAAAGATTTCGTCTTAGTTAAAGTGCATGATCCAGGCAAGTTGATTATTTAAACAATCTAATTTAATAGTTAATGCATATTAATACAAGTATTTATAAACCACACTTAACGAGAAATATTGCTTATCCAAACACAAGTAGCACACACAGAAGCACCAGCCTCTGTTATTTAAAAATGAGTCCGTAAGAAGCGTAAACGAATAGGTTTTGTAATTGTCTCAGTACACAAAGCTGAATTACACTTAAAATTGCTTCATTGAAGTTATTTTGAATTTCCTGTTGAAACATTCGATATACGTTGACATGCTGCATTTTAATACGGACGCTGCATTGATGATTCACAGTTAATCGGATGCTATTCAATTGGTATACTAGTAAGCTATTTTGAAATGGTCATGATTGAATCTAGTATTAGCCAGTTCTCAAACTTTGGTAATTATTTATTTCAGATCTTTATATATTCCCATTTTTAATATTAGAACAAGACATCTAAGCGAACAATATTGTTTTCAATTAGATCTTCATCAGGTTTTACTCTAATCTACATAGATTTATATATTAAAAAAATTTTAACCAATGACGGTGATTTTGTGGATCAAATAATAGTAATAGTAAAAATGTGCTAAATGTTTTGAACGTCATTCATAACGATGATTATAAAGATAACAAAATATTGATAATAAGTATAAGAATAAAACTTGTGCACTGTGGTAGAGTGTAATTCCATTATGGGTAAATTTTGTTTTGATAAAGTCTCACAGTGTTATACAGTAATGTTTACTGATGACGTTTCGAGCACAATTTATTGCTCATAATCATATCAAGGTAATCACACGACTTCCTAAATTCATTTATATAGTTCCATTGTTTTTCTCTTGATTTTCACTTGATTTGATTGGTAATAGTATTTTCCATATTTCAGGTATGAGTGACGAGTCATTCCTATTGCATGTGTTGGGTGTAGACTCGATGAACAAGGATTCAGTAATCAACCTCTCTCTCCACCTACCTAGATTACTTTTTAGAATTTTAACTCTCTCCCACCCTATTGTGTGGTTGTGTGTTAGCGCATGCATTGCAATTGCTGAGCTTTTTTCTAAATTACTTATCTTCTCGGGGTCAACCATTCTTACCTTAGCTAAATTCTTATGCTCTGACAATCTGACTACCCCTGACCTACTAGTTTGACCTATGTAGTTGACCTCACAGTCATTGCATGGTATTTTGTAAATAATATTATTTTGTCTAATTGGGTCAACTGGGTCCTTTAACCTACAGAGCTTGTCCCTGAGTGAGTTTGTAGGTTTAAATGCCACCCTAATTCCTATTTTATTCAGAATCCTACGTAGTGTCTCAGATGTCCCCTCTTTATATGGTATAACTGTGGATGACTTATATTCTTTCTTATTTATGTTATTATTACTAGTTTCACAATTATTTTTATTTTGTTTTTGGCCTTTAGTGATCTTCCTAATGAATTTTATAGGATAGTTATTCAACACCAACGCTTCTTCTATCTGTTTTAATTCATCATTTAGATCTTTTTTTGTGCTACTTAGTGCCACTGCTCGGTTTGTTAAACATTTAACTAAGCCTGCCTTAACAGTTAAAGGATGAGACGAATTAAAGTCTAAATATCTATTAGAATGCGTTGGTTTTCTATAAACACTAGTGTGTAGTTTGCCTTCTTCTATTCTTTTTATCTTACAATCTAACATAGCTAATTCTCCTTGTTCATTTTCTGATTCAAATGTGAATTTTATTCCCTCAACTTGTGAGTTTATATGTGTCAAGAAGCTAGAGATGTGTTCTGTTTTTAGCACTGTGAAAGTGTCATCCACATATCTCCACCATATTTTCGGAGTAGGGTTAAATGTATTGAGGGCACTATTTTCCCAGCTGTCCATAAATATGTCTGCTACGATAGGGGATATTGGTGATCCCATTGCTACACCTTCTGTTTGTCTATATATTTTGCCTTGGAACTTAAAGATAGTAGATGTGAGGCATAACTGAATTCCTAAAATAATTTCTTCAATGGACAGCTTTGTCCTATGACTGAGTTCCGGATCCGCAGTTAATTCTTTTTTAACTGCTTCTAAGGCCATATTAACTGGTATATTAGTATAAAGACTAGTTATATCAAAACTAACCATTGTTTCATCATTCGCTAGTTGAATGTCATTTATTTTATTTTTCATCTCATATGAATTAGTTAATCTAGAGTTTGAACGATTTCTAATGGGGCATAGTATTAGAGCTAAGTGTTTTGATAATTCATACGTGGGGGTATTTCTAAAATCTACTATTGGTCTTATGGGGTAACCTGGCTTATGTATTTTTATAGTACCATATATTCTACTAGCATTATTAGTTTTAGGCATTAAATTAAACCATTTAGACTCACCCAGGGATGGCTTCATTCTGCGTATTAGTTCCGCTGTAGATTTCTTAACCTTATTCATTATTGTATCTACAGGCTTCTTAATTTCCTCATATGGACCCATTTGAATATGTTCAGTAACTTTTTTGATGTAGTCAGATTTATCCAATACTACGGTGGCGTTTCCTTTGTCAGCTTTTGCGATGACAATGTTTTTATCCTGTTTAAGACTAATTAAAGCTTCCCTTTCCGATTTTGTTAAGTTTGATTTTGTTTTCTTTTGATTTTTTAGGGTTAATGCACATTGTGCTCGAACCTCTTCTGCTGTAGTCTTATCTATTGAGTTTAGTGCTGCTTCTATGTTAGGAATGACGTCCTCTGGTTTTAATTTATTAACTGTTACGTTAAAATTTAGTCCTTTTTCAAGTACTTTTATCTCATTAGAGTTTAGTTCCCTTGATGAGAGGTTGATCACCCACTTTGTTCTGTCGATAGAGGATGCAGCATTCATATCTGTTTCATTTGTTGTGTTCTTTTCTTCTATTAGTTTGTTGAATTTTTTGATTTGCGTGATTTTTGATTTTCTTAATGCGGATTCTCTAGCTTTGTTGGATGTTTCAACAACAATTATATAATCTTTGTCATTGATCATACATTTGAGTTTTTGTTTGAGTTTTTCAATTTGATTTCGTATATTATTTAGTTTTACAGTAACTCGATGTAATTCTTCTCTTAGACATAATTTACTGACATGTTCTGCGGCTGATGTTATTTTGTTTGAAGTAATTGGAGTACGTAGACGTAAATATTTTGGAATTATATGGCTTTTTAAACATCGACTGTTAAAAATCCGATGATTTGTAAATCTTGCTTCAGTTTGACTAAGTCGTGTGAGTTTGTTGATAAGCTTCCTAGTAGGAAGACCATATGTATCATTAATATAAGAATAAAACTTGTGCACTGTGGTAGAGTGTAATTCCATTATGGGTAAATTTTGTTTTGATAAAGTCTCACAGTGTTATACAGTAATGTTTACTGATGACGTTTCGAGCACAATTTATTGCTCATAATCATATCAAGGTAATCGTAATCATATCAAGGTTTATGTAGGTGACGACAAGAATAACGAATGTAATAATATGTGTATATGTAGACAATTCAACAGATAAATTAGGTCAAATCGTAGCAGTTACGTAATACTAAAGGTGAAGTGGGCAGATAATCATTTTCCAGCCGGCCATTTATGATTGCTCAAGTGAAAGACAAGCTACCTAGTTGTACCACTTCTATGTGTATCTAAAAATTTAGTTGCTCCTGTGGAGAGGGCTATATAGGGCGAACAACTAGACAGCTTAACAAACGCATTAATGAGCATCTTCCTTCATGGTTCGGAAAAGGTCAAATAAGATCCATACGAAGTTCTATTTTGGCTCATTTGATTGATAGTGGTCACCAAGTGGACAAAACTAGTGCCTTCAAAGTTATCTATCGCATTCCATCGAGCATTTCGAACGGAATTCGAATCCGCCTTTTACACAGCCGAAGCTACGGGAATTAATTCGAGAGAACAATCCTTGCCTTTGCATACAAAAGAAGTTTGTTCTACCTTTGTCTCTCCTTTGGCCTAGGTGAATTCTATTCAAAACCCTCCCACCCTTTCTTATTTTCCATCTCCTTCGTATTTTTATATTTATTTAAACTCTGATTATCCATCCACTTCACCTTTAGTATTACTTAACTGCTACGATTTGATATTATTACATTCGTTATTCTTGTCGTCACCTACATAAACCTTATTATCAATATTTTGTTATCTTTATAATCATCGTTATGAATGACGTTCAAAACATTTAGCACATTATTACTATTACTATTATTTGATCCACAAAATCACCGTCATTGGTTAAAATTTTTTTAATATATAAATCTATGTAGATTAGAGTAAAACCTGATGAAGATCTAATTGAAAACAATATTGTTCGCTTAGATGTCTTGTTCTAATTATTTATTTATTATTTTATGAAACTTTACCATACCTGTTCAGTATCTTTCTCAGTATCGAAGATATGATCACTTGTAGTCTATGACAATGACTTAGTTCATGAAGAAAACTATACTGTAATCTGATAAGTGTATTCCATTGATTATACTCGGCGTAAATGTAGCGAAAATCTAATCGTCTTAAATGGTGAGAAATGTTTATTTCATACGGTATGTAAACAAGCAGTACAGTCATTCTCAGTGTATTCAGTTCCAATACGTTTCCTCTACCTACAGCAATTATATGTAAAGTAGTAATCTGATGTAGTGTTGTTGAATATAAGGAGAGAACCATTTCTGTGCCCTTTTTCTTCATTTCCGTAAAGAACTGAACAACGTTTAGTCTGAAGCTAATTAAATATGCTCGCGATTCCAAGTAATTATCATTTGGTATGATAAGATGATTAAAACAATAAAAAGTGTAGAAGAGTTTTTGCATTTAAGTGATTGAGAATTCCAGCAGCCCAGTGATTTAAGCAGGCCGCCATGTTTTCTTTTACAAGTAGCTAAATAATTGTTTTATGTCTAATATAGTTTCAAATCTTTAAATATTCCCATTTATAATATTAGAACAAGACATATAAGCGAACAATATTGTTTTCAATTAGATCTT